GCAACTTCAATTGCAGAATTCACATCCATTTCATACTGTCTTCCTGAATAAACAGATTAGGCTCATTTTCCTTCTTAAGCATATATTTATCCTTGGAATAACTTTGTTCTAGGAAAACACGCTTTATTTTCCTTCACACAATGCCATTCCAGCCATGGGTAAGGTACTCTATAACTACTCTTGAATTTTCCTTTTGCTTTTAGTGCAATTTCTGGTCACCTCAGTCGCTAATTAATATATTTTCACAACATGCCTCTAAGCCAGGAAAACAGCGGCATCATCACTGTACCGATGGGGAATTGTAGCCTGGTGATGGGTGGGCAGGCAGCACAAACACCACCACCATCAGACAACCGATTTCAGAAGCAGAAATTCCACTTTTTTCAGCTCAATGGGCAAAATGCACAATGCCACGAAAAACTAGCCCTCACCTGTCTCAGGCTGGAAAATAAAGGGGTATATTTCAATACATTTTCTGAAGAATCATTTAACACCAGAAGTGGATAGCATGAAACCGAGCACTTCCTAGCCTCTTACTGCTGTAATAGCAATCATCACTATGTTGAAAGGAATTCCAGAAAGCGCACGTTCAGTTTAGCATTTTCTTATTATCATATACTTATATATTTCAGACCAATAGAAACAGCACAGAATTCCTTTAACACATTTCCCTCAGCATTACATTCATAAAGCCAGGGAGATGAGCACTGACATCCCGAGGATCCATGCTCAGCTCACACTGACGAGCAGTTACTATTTAACAGTGCCGTTAAAACAGGAGTGGCAAAGGTCTGAGATGCATGTACCTGAATTCCTGAAAGCATCATCTGAAAGCATGCTGCTTTGTAGACTACTAGATTGCAAATAGAATTTTACAGCTGAAATTGCTGTGCTGATGCCATTGCTACTGTCAGAGGATTTTTAATCCCGAGGTTTCAAATATTATAGGTCAAGTGTGCCGGCGTGTACTTGCAGGAAAGCAGTGGATCCCTTGGGAATTACCCAGAGCTCATGGTGAGCTTATATAAGCCAGGCTATTTAGCTGGCCTAACCTACAGTTAAAGTCTTTTTTATATTTACATTACAAACATTGAGATCCACATGATCTCATCCTTTTCAGTTATTCTTTGCTGATCATATCAATTCCACTCCAAGCCTATTTTCATCACTATATATTCAGTCTTCCTACTGGTGCTAAACCACATTTATCCTTTCCCTGCAGCTGTCAGCCTACTGAACATGAGCTATTTTCATTTGCTTGAGAAGGCTCTGAATTTCCAAAGCCTTATCCTTAACTATTTGCTAATTCTGCACAAAATAGCCAAAGATTAATTTGCAGTAGCTAAAATATACTAACATACTGATTAAATAGAATCGGATAGATGCTTTACAGTGTAATAACTTTAATAACAGATTATTTAGAAGCATGCAAACAGAACAGCATTTCAGCTCTAAAGACAAGCACTTTAAAATTACACATCATCATATTTATGGGTCCTGATTTTTCCCTCTTTCTGTACTGAATGTGGCATGTGCCCTTTGAAAAAAAGCAATATATGGCCATATAAATAAAACTGTTTTACAATAGTAGCCATAAGGCAACAGAATTAATGATGGAGTAAAATTGTGACCACTCTGAAAATTTGAATGAATCAATAAACTCAAAAAATGTTTAATTCAAGATCTTGAACTTTACTTCCACAGTGGGTTTTTGGTTTGTTTTGTTTTTTAAAAACAAGACTTCTAAAAAAAAAAAATCACTATTAACAATTGTATCAGCCTCCCCCATAATGCACAATGGACAAGTATTACAAATTTAGTACTAAAAGAACTTAAAATATTTATGCGAGCTTTATGACTAGTTACACTAGCTAGTCTTAGGAGAGGGCTTAAAGCCCACAGCACAAAATATCAAAATGCTCGATAGCAGAAATGGGTACTGGCAGGTAACTGCATTTCACGTCCCAGGGTGACTTTAAATGCTATTACGGTAACCCCAATGGCTTACTGAATTTTCGAGCTCTGTTGATGTGATATATAACTTTACAGTTTAAAAGGTAAAAATAATAGACTATTTTGCTGTCTTTAATAAGACTACTATATTGCATGTTCTGAAAGCTATAAGAGAAACGAAACTGCTCGTAAATATACCAGAGTAATTGTTCCAGGAGGAACCTTAAATAAATTTTAAATGAAAAATGTTTCATGCGACTGATCTTTAACATTTTTTCCCTAGTATCTCCAAAAGCTGATCTGGCCACACTATAATGGGACATTGAAACAAAATTGACTGTAAATCAGAAGATGCCCAAAAGCACCTACTCAGGGTTGGCAGTTTTCTTCCCAAAGCACCCTTAGCCCACATCTTGTTTGCCTCTGCCACCACAGACCTGTCTCTAAAGGTATCTCAGAACTGACACTTGTTCCATTTCCAGTCTATTTCATGTCACAGGATTGAAGTAATCTGCACAAGTCCACAAAAATCAACATCAGTTGCAGCTACAGCTGCAAAAAGAAAAATAGATTTATTCTCTGGAGTACATCTTTCACAGATGCCAACCTCTCACAGTGTTAATACTTTAAAATAAAATGCATAGAAATGCTCAGAAAGAATAACATAATGACTTGCTTTGCACCCCATGTTAATTGATAACTACAAACTCTTGGGAGATGCCACCAAGTGTTACCTGGCAACTTATTTCGTCTCTGACAAAAATTATTTAATGATAAGGAAGAATAAAGGTCTTGAAGTATTCAGTACTAACTTTCTGGCTTTTACTCTTCAGTAAAATTATTACATTTTTCCTCTCTTCCTTTTCAAGTATCTCCACGTTGCCATTACTGATTCCTTTGCTCAATGAAGTAAGAGGCTTTGCCACAAAACAAGATTATACATTTAACAGCAGTGACGAAATACCATGAGATCATTGGCAGCTCTCATAAATTTCCTCATATTAACTAGACAATGAATGCCAGCCCTGCCGTAAGCCTGACATAATCCACAGGAGCTCATCCCTCAGTTCAGGACAGGGCTAGGAGCTGGGTATTGGTGGTTATCACAGAACGCCCACCACGAAATTTCACATCCTCATCTTACCTTGTGGTAATTAATTCAAACATCCTTATCAGTAAAATATTGACAGCTGGAAGTAGAACACTCAATTTTTATGGAAGCAAGTAGCTTTCTCTCATTGGAGTCCATTCCAGCACCTCTAGAAACCCGAAGCCACCCGAAATCGATCTAGCTGGCCATGTACCATCAATCTCTAACATCACACAGCTCAAACTGCACTCTTCACTCACAGACACCTAAACCGCTCCATGAGAAGTTGCCATCACTGACTCCCCCCTTACGAAGGTAGAAGCAGAGATAAAATAGGTAAAGTGACCTTCTGCGGGCTGCTCAGAAGCCCAGTATCAGAAATGTCAACATCACACAGATGGCCTCAGACTTAGTCCTGCGTTTTACCTTCGAGGTAACACTTCACTCACAGCTGATCTTATCAGGCCACAAAAACTGTGTTAACTATCTGCCCTTTGGGTGTTTCAGGAATCATAGGCTTTCCAAAAAATCTAGAACGTTTTACTAATGCACCACTCACTGAGGGGCTTCTTAGGATTTGATACCACACTCCCCATCTCCAGCTCCTGGCTTTCCTGGCATGTTCCTTAGAGGGCCGTAATTAACAGAGAAGCTCCAATAAGCTAGAAAGAGCTAAAAGCACTGGGTCCTCTGCCTTGGAGCTGCATGGAGTTCTCTCCTTATTCTACGACAGAAGAAAAAAAAACTCACACAACCCATTCATTGAGCAGCAGCTTGGTACTTGCAAGCAACACTGAGTGTATCTAAGGTAGACTGACTGAAACAGCCTGGAAGAAGAGGGCAAAAGTGAAGATTTTTTGGCCAGAGGCTATTGGTTGATTATGACAATGTGATTAAATAACTTTTTGAAGCTTCTAAGAAAGAGATGTAGTGCTTTGCAAGCAGTATACTTCCCCACTCTGAAAATGTTAACTGAACGACCTCTGGCTCCCACTGTTATTCCTATTAGGGCCACGATTCTAATTAATCATCAATGAACTTACACTTAAGGAAAAGGAAGCAGGGGGTTACATTTAAGTATAAATGGACAGACCATAAAAAGATGTGCAACATGGAAATGCAAAGACACTCACACACAGAAACCATATTTACAGATTTAGAAGGAAAGGCTCTTCCCTAAATCCTCAGCAGAACATATTTCGCTGTGCTACAGCAGAGGAAGTCTATCAGGAGACTGCAGATACCCCAGGTCTCCATGTTAACCAGTCCATTATTTAACTGCAGGAACTTCTCTCCAAATCAAGCCAGCAGACGCTCTGTAATACCTAACCCATCATTCATCAATCCCTTCATTTTTTAAGCCAGACTTGTTCTCAAGCTCCCCACACAATGGGGCACAAGCCAAGGCCACAAGCTGGGCACCTACACAATCCTTTTTTTATAAATATGAAGCAGAAACTCTCATGCAGCCTCCATACTGTGCACGAGTTCATAAACACATAATAAATTAAATATAGAGAAAAACAGTCACCAGTGAGACCACAGTCCTGGACTCCAGCTTTGCAAGAAGGGTATCCATCATACTGAAGTAAAGAGAACTGTCATCTTACGCTGACTACACTCATGGTTATGCCTACTCTAGCAAGTGTTCACAAAGCACCTTTTATCTGAAGGAAAAACTATCATCTAGAAATAGCATTATGAGATTCCAGCAGTGAACCACATTCTATTTTTTTCTTGATCCAGGAAATCTGCTTTGCCTCTCAACAGGATGCAGAACATTGGAGAATTTGCTAATCTAAGAATTATCTCATGTTTAATTATTTTAACCTGTTTTTGTCTTGAAGTGTTACTGCAATTCAGGTGACCAAAAGAAATTTTAAAGATCTTAAAAAAAAAAAATAAGGGGGGGGTGGGCACGTTAAGAAGGGAGTATGCTTTTTGCAGTTGTACTCACATTGAAAAGGTGATGCAAGTTGATCCTGGCTCAGTCTCAGTGGTAATGAGCCCTCAGTGGACTGTTCTCCTGAAATCACTTTTTTTACTGGATAATATTTGGGTTTGATCACATATTCCTGTGTTTGGCCATGATGAAGATTCATCATCAGTGTCTGAGATGAAAGGGGTATCATCCTGTTTTAGGGAAGAAGGAAAAAAAAAAAAAGAGACAGAATGATGTAAGAACTAATAAATTAGACTTAGAAACTACCAGTAAAAAATTTAAGACAAATTCACCAGTACTCCAAGTTCTCAAAATACAGTCTGGGAAACTTACTAGCTACCAAGTAAGCACCTGATTTTCCATGCATTTAGCATCCTCATTGTCTTGTCAGCTCAACAAACACCTAACAAATAAAGACTCCTTTTTGACCTAGCAAGAAAAGTATCATGGACAGCTCAGAAAAGAGGAAGGAACAGGGAAAAGTCCTCCTCAAAGTTACAAGTCGGAGCTCAACACTGTTAGCACATTGCTAGCACGTTCCAAACTGGTCAGAGAAGCAGTGGTGCATTCAAACCTCTCTCCATTTCTTCCAAGTGTCATCTCACACCTGGTATGTTAAGCAGAACCTAAGCCCAGCTGACTTTCCTCCTCTGTTCCCAGAAACCCCACTCCCTTTCCCACCGTACCTCTCTAGCCATAGAGCAGAGCAGGGCACTAATCCTCTTCCCCTTTTTCAGCCTGTCTCCCATCTCATCAGGTCTGTCTCTGTTTCCCAGCTCCATGTTACTTTCCCCATCCACTTTCTCTTTGCCTGCACTATTGAACATCTCTGACAAATGCCCCATAACGACATATCCTCCTTTAGCAGCAAAACTATTTCCCCTTCCTGTTAAACAAGATTATTCCTTCAAACTCACCGATTCAGCGCCAGTCCCAGTCCCTTACTTCCATTGTTAGATTATTGTATTGTCTTTCAACATGTGGAGCCTGAGCCAGCCTCTATCTCCAAAGCAATGCCTGATTCCTTAGTCATGTTACTCAGAGATGCCTCGTTACTGCTGTAGCCAATGGATTTGTGGTTAGAACAGACAATGAGGTTTTGTCCTACACAGATGCTCTTGTTGACTTGGATCGGTTTGAGAAAAAGTGCATTCATTAACACAGACATTCGATGACTCTTACAACACAAACATAACTCCTCAGACTATCTCCAAGTCAAATTTTTCTAATACAGCCACACTGTAGCCCAATGCTGTCAACCTACATCAGAGTCCACCATTTTGGAATCAAAATAAAATTTAAAAAAAAAATCATTGAAAAATCTAACAATACACCACATCACACCAAAGACA